AGAAAAATGTCCACAACATTCCATAATTGATTCTTCTTTTCCCTGCCCCCAGTGTGTGCATTTCTGACAACCCACTCATAAATTAATAAATAACTAGTTTTCCTGACCCCTCTGTTTGTTCTGTCACAAATGAGATTGGTGCCCTTAAGTTGCTTACTCACTGATTCATGCAAATAGATTGCTTGGTTTATTTTATCATGCCCTCTGTCCTTTTGCTGTGTGATAGTGGTTTCCCATTGGCCTTTTGACAATGATCTGATAGTCGTGTCCACTCAGCTCTTGCTTGGGAGCTGCTGAAATTCTTTTAAGTCCTCCCTCATCCTGAATCTGCTGACTTTTGGTGGAATATGATTTAAGGGAATGCAACGGCCTCGTATTATCGCTGGAGTGTTAACCCAGAGACCTGGATAATGTTCTGGGGACCTGGGTTCGAATCCTGACGCGGCAGATGGTGGAATTTGAATTCAATCAGAATTTGGAATTAAGAGTCTAATGATGAATCCATTGTCAATTGTCAGAAAAATCCGTCTAGTTCACTAATGTCCTTAAGGGAAGGAAACTGCCATCCTTACCTGGTCTGGTCTCTGACTCTAAACCCACAGCAATGTGGTTGACTCTCAACTGCCCTCTGCGCATTTACGAATGGGTGATAAATGTTGCCTGGCTAGCAACATCCTCATCTCATGAATGAATAAAAAAAAAATTCCAATGATGCCAGCCATATTCTAGGCCATTTCCCAAGAGCCTTCTTGTGTAGGAACATACAAAAGGAAGCGGTTCACCTCTTCAAGCCTGATTGTTAAGGTCGTAACTTATCTACCTGCCTTTCTCCCACTATCCCTGGTTAGCAAATCTTCCAATCTCCTACTAAAATTAATATTTGATCTTGAATCAATTGTTATTTCTGGTGGAGAATTCTGAACTTCAACCACTTTCTGTCTCTAATTTTTACACTCTGCCCCATGCTCTTAGACTCACTAATTGGTGCAAGGAGTTTCTCTTCATCTACCCTGTCTGTTTATATTAATATCTTGAACTCTGATTAAGGTGTCTCCTTAAAATTCTAACTTCCAGGGAATATAGCCCTAGTTTGTGTGATCTCTTCATAAAGTAAAGCCTGGACTCCAACGATCATTCTGTGTATTAACATTACACCTCCCCCAAGGCCTTACAAAGATATAGTGTCCAGAAATGCTTGTTTAGGTGCGGTCTAATAAGGTTTTTTTATAGTTGACTTGTAGTCATGGAATGGTTACACAGAAAGGAAGCCATTCAGCTTGTCATGTCTGTGCTTACAGTCTCATCAGCCACACAAGGATTCACAGAACACAAGACCAGTGATGTGGAATTAGTGAAAACTAGTGTAAATAGATAGGCAATCATATCTGTTAATGAGTGATTGCTGTGACAGCAACACATTTTCAGAAGGAGCAACTTTACTCGTGCCTCCATGCTGCCTTTTACCTATTGCCCTGTGGATTTTTTCCTTTTTCACATAATGATTCATTTTCTTTTTGAAAGCCTCCATTCATTTTGTCTCTGTACTTTGAAGCCACGTAGCCCAGACCCTTACCACTCACTGAAAACATTTTTCCTTGTGTTACATTTCTTCTTTGCCAATTACCTCAAATCTGTGACCTCTTGTGCCACTGAGAACAGTTTCTCCCTTTCTACTGTCAGGCTGCTTGTGATTTTGAATATCTGTATCAGATGTCTTCTCTATTATGAAAAAGAGTCATATTGGACTCTAAGCATTAACTCTACTCCTGTCTCCTCAAAAACTGCCAGACTTGCTGAGTTTCTTCAGCACTTTGTTCTTACTCCTCTCTACCCCTCCAATTTAGCTATATTACATCGCTACAAGCTCAACTGAATGTTTTAAATTTGGTTTCTAGTGTAATTCAGCATGCTGACTGTGTCGAACCAGCCCTTGTTTGCAAACCTTACAACATTACGTCTAACATTAGATATGATTTTGCTAAAGAACAGCACTTACCACACAATCCCAACTATAGCTGAAATTCCTCATCTCTGGAACTATTCTTGAGTCATTTCTTTCTGTACTGTGTCCCAGGCATACACGTCTGTCCTAATGTGCGATGCCTAGGACTGGCCACAATGCTTTGGTTTGGACTGAACCAGTGTTTGATAAAAGTTTAGTATCACTTCCTAGCTTTTGTACTCTTTCTATCCCAACTAATAAAGCCTAAAATGGTGTATGATTTATTAACTGCTGTCTCAACCTGTCAGGACATTTATCAAATAACTTACACCTAGGTTCCTCTGCTTCTGTACCTCTTTTAGAATGGTGCCCTTTATTGTATATTACCTCTGTCTTCTTCCAAAATGAATCACTTCATACTTTTCCACAGTTAATTTCATCTGCCACTTGTCATTCTACCGTCCTGTCTGTGTCCTTTTGAAATTCTGCACTATCCTTCTCATGATTCAGAATACTTGCAAGTTCGTGTCACCCACAGATTTTAAATTGTACTATGTACATGAAGGTCTAGATGATTTAATATACAACAAGAAAAGTGAGATTTTCAATACTGATATCTGAGGATCTGCATTCTAAATCTTTGTTCAACCCTAAAAACAACCAAACCCCTGCTGTTTCCTGTCATTCAATCATTTTGTATCCTTTTCTACTGTCCCTTTACTTTTAAGTGTTAACAGAGTGACAAGAGCAGGCAAAAAAACTGCTCCCTAGTATTCTGTAGTTGAGCTGAAGGCAGGTCAGAACATTCCAATTAACCCTAGCATACCTGTGATTTCTTGCTGAACTTTTGTGCTAACCTTGTGTTCTGAGTGAAAGATGGTCTCCACAACACATGCATCATAATAGGGAAAGATCTGTTGACAGTTTGATAGGAGTTGGTAACATGAGTGAGTACGTTGAGCCCATGTTTGATGAGAAGCTGATATTTGAACCACTGGGACAAGTGTAATTAAATATCTGGATATCGTATCGTGTTGTGTGTGCAAGCTGCTTTGGGTGCCGATGCTCATAGATAATCGGGAGGCAATGGTATTATCGCTGGACTGTTGATCCAGAGACCCAGGTAATGTTCTGGAAACGCATATTCAGATCACACCACAACAGATGGTGCAATTTGAATTCGATTAAAATCTGGAATTAAGAGTCTTATGATGACTATGAATCTGTTGTTCTTTGTTCTTTGTTCTTTGTCTGAAAAACCCATCTGGCTCACTAACATTCATTATGGAAGGAAACTGCTATCCTTACCTGGTCTGGCCGATGTGTGATTCCAGACCCACAGTGATGTGATTGTGCAATTATGGATGGGAATAAATGTTGGCCGAGCATTTGTGTACATTAGATGTGGCTTTTATTGGATGAACCTATCCAATGTTATACAAATGAGTGTTTGTATGGCCTCTTATTCCTGAAGGCTATGAATTCAAGCCCTGATACAAGGCTTTAGCAGACAAACTAGGACTTTTGAGTGGGCTGCTTTTTTTTTCCAGATGAGATGCTGAACCTGTTGACCAGTTCTAGTGAATACATGAGATCCAATGACATTATTATAGGGTGAGTAGTGAGTTTCTCTTGTGTCCTGGCCAAAAACACAATGGTTAATGCTGGCACTGATTTGAGTTAAAGCAGGTTGCCATCAACTAACACAGTGCATTTGGCTATCAGCTAAATCAAAATGTTGTTCCATTCCAACCTTGTCCCAGGACTTGATTGGTTTACACTGAAGATCAAGATTGAAGAAATAAGTAAGCTTTAAATGGAGCTACCAGCTGTTTGTCCTGGTGGATGTTGAAGATCCAGGACACGATTTAAACAGGGAGTTTTCTTGGTATCTTAGTCAACATGTCTCTCAATCATCCACCAAAATATATTTAGCTGGTCATTCATCAGAAGTAATCTGTTATGTATGGCTTAACTCCTAAAGTTTGTTTATTTTTGAGAGTTTTAAATTGATTCATTTGGATTCTTTTGCTAGTCTTTCTGGTCTCATTAAGTTTTGTATGAATTTATGCTTTCCTTTTCCAGGCAATGAATATAACAATGAGAAATTGTTTGATGTTTCTCAAATACATTTTTTCTAATTGCTGTTTGTAATTGGTGAGCAGCTTCAGTTGGCTAGGGCATTCTTATCTTGCTAATTTCAGGTGCTCCTGCACCTATAAAGAGGGCTAGAAAACTGGCAAATGGTCAGAGCTGTGTGAGTATGAGTTTTAGGGGTTTGCATCTGACCTTTTAACAGAAAATGTGCAATAAAAAAATTCAAATGAAAGAAATCTCCAACACTTTGATCTCAACTGTGCATCCAGCCTGGTGAACATTGAGTGCAGCAATGCCTCCTTTATGGTTGCACTGGAAACCTACTGCTGTAGATTATTCTCCTGAATGCAGTCTTGGAACTCCTTTCCTAACTGCCCTGAGCATAGCTCTCCCCTGCTTTCACCCTCTCCTCCCAAATGGGCTGCAGTGGTTCAAGAAGATAGCATGCCACATTTTCTAGTGCAATTACGGTTGGGCAATAATACTTTGGCCCAGCCAGCACCTATGTTCCATGAAAAAAGCGTTGATTAATATGATGTATGTGACACTGATCTGTTTGGCTGAAATGGGCAGAGTTTTAATCCCTAAGGGAACTGAAGGTTATGGGGAAAATGTGGGAGCCATAATCTCATTGAATGTTGAAGCAGACTTAAGTTGTTTGGCCTACCTCTGCTCCTTTGTCTCAGTTCATCTGACTGTTGTTTGCATTACTGATACCTGAAAAGTTGTCCTCCAAAGTGAAACACTTGCTGCCTTTAAAGGGGAGATGGATATTTCATATTGGAGATTGTGTGTGTTATGGCGACCTTTGTCATTGGGTTAAGCTTTTATAAATATTGCGGGAGGATTACTTCCTTCAATGCCAGCCAATGCTCAAATTTATTCCGTGGTGTTGTTTGGCTTGAAACTTTTGGTAGTGTTTCTGCTGTGGAATGACATTTTGTCATCCTCCCCACTGCAGATTACTGAAGCAAGTATGTGCTCGTGGAGTGAGAAACTCAATGCCGACCTTTCTGGGACCATGGATGGTAGCACCATGAAGAAATACCGACGTGAGGCTTACCACCGGTATGTAGCAGTGGATTTTAGACTTGAGAGGCTTACTCAAGGGTCTAGTACTGGAGGAAATGCAAGTAATTGAGAAGCATGGGGCAGAGTTGAGAGAGCCCATCCAGCTATTTAGGGCTACGTAATTTGCTGTCTTGTTGAGTTAGTTGGATATAATTAAGGTTTCAAGCCAGACCAAGCACATCTAATATATATAAAATTTAACAATATAGCCCAAGAATGGATGATTGCAGGGTATGTGGGCTTCAAGCAATACAGCAGTTAAAAGTGTTGGGCTGCATTTAACAACATCCTGGCACCATTCAGTTTGAGCCAGTCAATATCCTGTGAGAGGAAACAGCACATTAAAATCTATTGGCTGCTTATTATTTTGTCCAGTGTAAGTATTGAGACTGGTAAACAAATCAAAAAAGTCGTCTTGGCCCTTGAATGTGATCTGAAGTAAAGCAACTTTGAACAAGGAAAGTATGCATGGTCAAGTATATTTGTATCAGATTGTAGTCAGTCATTTAATGAGCTAGTTGAATCTGAACGTTATGTTGCTGAGGTTGAACAGGCTTAAATCTGGCTGTTCAAAGAAAAAGAGTTTGATTTGTAATATAGGGGCAAAACTTGAGATGGTATGAAAATGCATTGTTGTTCACTCATTCTCATTCTGATAAGGGCATGACGTTTGGAAACTCTGGTGAATCTGAACACCATGTGAAGGACACCACAACCCAGTCCCATCCTGAACTCTTTCTAACATTCATGAATTCACTGGCTTACGTAGTTTACCCCTTTCTTCCCTGTGGATTGGGCCTTTTGTAACGCTGCTACTGGAACCCTACCTGAGAACAGTTATTTATTCACATAAAATTCTCCACATTTCTCCAGATCACAGGGGAAAAACTTGAAACCGAATGTAGAAAATGCTCGAAATACACAGAGAAGCAATTGATGTTTCAGGTCACGAACTTTCATCAGAACCCTGAAATTCCCTGGTTCCAATTACTTGTTACAGCATGCCCATCACAAGATTGTCTGTAATAACATCTATTCAGAATTTATCAAAAAATGAGCAATTTTCAGGAATCTGAGAAGTGCAATTTAAAAAGTTGTGAAGTGTGAGTTGTGCTTTGCTTGTGATTGGAATGCAATTTAGTTAATCCTCTGAACTGCCAAACACCTGTTAAAACTGTTTTTGACCTTTAATCTAAACTTAAATTTGCAAGCTGTTCCTAGGGATTTGTGATAATATAAGTAGGCCATGCAACCCCTTTAGCTGCTGCATTATAAATCCTCTGAATTAGTCCCTGTCTGGGAACATAAAAGCAAGTTTCACTTGGATTTGTGAGCTGGTTATATGAAAAGAAATTAAATCTTCCAGTCAGACATCAAATGTTGGCCAAATCAGTCTGGGACATCCTCTGATACCTTTGCAGATGATGGTACTGCCTGGTGCCACATTAACCAATACAGATTAGATATTTTGTCAGTTGTCACAATGGAAGATACACAACATCCCAGAAATACTTCTAAATCAAGAGGTGAATGTGAGGGAGGAATTCAAGACAATTGCAATCATCAGGGCAAGGGTATTGAGGAAATGTTCAGACATTTGACAAGTTCCAAGATCTTGGTGTCTGCATCTTAAGAAAGGTGGCTGTGAAGATGGTGGAGATGCATTTGTTGTAACTTACATAAATCCCATCAGATTGGAAAATAGTAAATTTAAATCCTTATGCAAGAAATTTTGAAAGTCGAAAACTACAGGCCAGTTCGCTGAACAGTTGTTGTAAGGACAATGCTCAAATCTATCATTAATGCAGTTTTGCAGAAAGTCTTAATGCAGTTGGGCAGAGTCAATTAGGTTTTAACATAGAACAGTACAGTACAGTACTGGCCCTTCGGCCCATGATGTTGTGCCGACCTATTATCCAACTAAGATCAAACTACCCTACATATGCTATATTATACTATCCATGTGCCTATCCAAGGCTCGCTTAAATGTATCTGACTGTACTACCACTGCCAGCAGCGCATTCCAGGTGCCCACTGTTCTTTGTATAAAGAACCTACCTCTGACATCTTCCCTAGACCTTCCTCCAATCACCTTAAAATTATGTCCCCTTGTAACAGTCATTTCCACCCTGGGAAAAAATCTCTGGGTATCCACTCTATCTACACCTCTCATCATCTTGTCCACTTCTATTAAGTCACGTCTCCTCCTCTTTCGCTCCAATGAAAAAAGCCCTAGCTCCCTCAACCTTTCCTCATAAGACCTGCCCCCCAGTCCAGTCAGCATCCTGGTAAATCTTCTCTGCATCCTCTTGAAAGCTGCCACATCCTTCCTATAATGAGGCGACCAGAATTGAACACAGTATTCCAAGTGTGGTCTAACCAGGGTTTAATAGAGCTGCAGCATAACCTCGTGGCTCTTAAACTCAATTCCCCTGCCAATGAAACCCAACACACCATGCACCTTCTTTACAACCCTATCAACTTGGGTAGCATCTTTGAGGGATCAGTGGATGTGGAAGGGAAATCATGTTTAACTAACTTATTAGTTTATTTTTGAAGAAGTAATAAGCAATATAAAGACCTGTAAATGTGGGGAATTGGATTTTTAAAGTTCGTCGATAAGATCAAAGATTCCTACCAAAAATAGGAGGTCATAGTGTACAGAACAAAATATTAGCACGAATAGAGAATTGGTTAGCTAAGAGGAAACAGGGTTAAATGGGTCATATTCAGGCTTAGAATCTGTAACTATCGTAGTGCCAGAGGGATGAGGTTTGGGTTCTCGACTACTTACAATCTGTATTCATGAGTTCTGTCTCAAAGAAGATTTGAGAGACTAATAATAATTTTGAATTGAACTGTTCTTATTTAAACCTCTACCAGTCTGCACAGAAATGTGTTGAAACATTTCATGGGCACGTCAGTTTCTGGTTTCCTTATATCTACAGCTTGTTGGGAAAAATAATAGTAAATGAAAGCTTGCTCTAAAGAGATACAAAGTGCATGTATTTTTGTCTTGTATTCATGAGGATTGAGAGGCAAGAAACCAAACTTTGAAAGGGTACTCAAATTTATACAGCATGAGAAGAAGGTGATGATCAGTTGGACATGGTTGGCATAGGGATGCAGCAGGAACTGTTAATTGTCAATTATATTTAGCTGATTTAACTTCGACCAAGCAGAGAGACTGGTCAGGATTTGGCCTTAGGGAATGTGGCAGGGGACAGTAATGTCCATAAACCCTTCCTGAAAGAAAAAATTACAAGTGTGAACAATTTTTTTTCTTAAAACAAACAGGATCCTGTGTATGAATAGATGTAGCTTGTAGCAAACACAAGTGAATCTCGCTGCAAGCTCAAATGTTTTAAATTTGGTTTCTAGTGTAATTCAGCATGCTGACTGTGTCGAACCAGCCCTTGTTTGCAAACCTCACAGCATTACGTCTAACATTAGATATGATTCTGCTAAAGAACAACATTTACCACATAATCCCAACTATGCTAAGAATTACACCAGAAGCCAATTTAATATGATTAGTCAGGCTGTTACTGAATCATTTTTCATATGGTAGAGGCTGCATATGTTCAATTGCAGGACCCTGTTCCTTTGTAGGCAAAAGAAATTTGCCCATCCATTGCAGTTTTTTCATCTGAGGAAAGGATAAAGGAGACTCTCAACCCCTGCTGTATTCCCCATTGCAAAGCCCTGATGGTTTAGTAGACAGTGAAGGAGGTTTTTTAAGATTACAAAGGGATCTTAATAAAACGGATCAATGGGCTGAAAAATGGGTGATGGAGTTCAATCTGGATAAATGCTTATACAATAATGGTAGGGCCTTAGGTAGCGTTGTAGAACAGAGGGACCTAGGGGTGCAGGTAATTCTTTGAAGTTTGCATAATGTATAGACAGGATTTTTAAAAAGGTATTTGGCATGCTTGCCTTCATTACTCCGTCCTTTTGAGTATAGGCTTTGGGAAGTCATGATGAGATTGTACAGGGCATTGATAAGGTCTCTTCTGGAATACTGTGTCCAGTTCTCGTTGCCCAGTTATAGGAAGGATATTATTAAGCTGGAGAGCGTTCAGAAGAGATTTACCAGGATGTTGCCAGGTATGGAAGGTTTGAGTTATAAAGAAAGGCTGGATAGGCTGGGACTTCTTTCACTGGAGCATAGGAGGTTAAGAGGTGACCTTATTAAAGTATGTAAAATAATAAGAGGTATAGATAGAGTTAATGGTAATTTCTTCCCCCTAGGATGGGGGATTTCAAGACTAGGGGGGACATTTTTAAGATGAGAGGAGAGAAATTTAAAGACATGAGGGGCAACTTTTTTTTTTTACACAGGGTGGTTTGTGTGTGGAATGAACTTCCTGAGGAAGTGGTGGATGTGGGTACAATTACAACGTTTAAAAGACATTTGGATAGGTGCATGAATAGGAAAGGTTTGGAGGGATGTGGGCCAGGAGCAGGCAGGGTGGGACTAGTTTAATTTAGGATTATGTTTGGCTTGGACTGGTTGTAACAAAAGGTCTGTTTCTGTGCTGTATGATTCTCAACTCTAACCGGACAGGTCGTAATCAGCTAGTAATATTGATAATTAACAGTTTCTGTTGTATCTCCACATCCACCATTGTTCAACCAACTGGTACCATCTGTTTCCTTTCTAGGTTTTTAGAATCAAGCCTTCGAGTCCTGATGAGTGCAAAAAACAAAAAAACTTTGACATTTTGTTTTAAACACTGTTTAAACTGTGTAAAACCAAGCAATTATTTTAATGAAAGTTTATCAAACAACACTTATGCCAAATCAAGAATCCCCTTTTCGAAGTGCATAAACCTTAAATCCATAACAACCCTATTGCGTGTTCCTGACATTTGAAATATTCTTATTAACGTTGACTTTGTCTCAGGCAATAATGTCTTCCAATGGTTTTTTTTAACCAGATGTACTGTGCTTTGTTTCCCTCCTTTTCTAGCATTCTTTCTTCCCTTTTCTATTACACCATTGGTTTCTTTCTCCTACTTTTTCATTCATTTTCCCTGTGACAATGGGCTTGTTTTTGCTTTTTCCAGAGTGTTTGTAAACCGCAGTTTGGCGATGGAGAAGATTAAATGTTTTGGATTTGACATGGACTACACTCTAGCAGGTGAGCAATGCCAGTTCTAATGGGATTCAATCAAAAATGACTATTTGCTGAACTGAAGTCAGTTTAGTTCAGAGAATGGTGTATTTTACTATTTCATTTTCCCTAACTTCCTTCCCTGCTGATAGGGCTGCTCAGCTGGAGTGGCTATCAGAGCTCAGCCTATTTTGCCTCTTGTGATATCCACACAGTCGGGTTCCAACAGAGAGACACAGATCTGAGGAACAGTTGTAACTAAATCTGCTGTTGTAGCTGACAGCTTGAAAATTTCATTAACACTGAATGGAATGTAATGAGCTACCCAGATATCTTTGAAATGTTCTGCTCCCTAAATCAGGAAGGCAGTGAGGAGAGTCAGACTATTGTTCCTTCATGTGGTACTAAATAAGATGGAGAACTGTATGAACTGAAAGCTTTCTTCCCTTTCTCTTTGCTAAACATTTCAGGGACCACCGCCCCCAAAAAAAAGGTCAAAATCCGAGGTCATTGCTCCCTGAAAGCTACCAACTTTTCCCTTGATTACTTTGCAATCACTAACACCCGCTGTGCTATTCCTAATCTCTTCCCAGAAAAGGCATTTAGACAACCTACTTAGTGTTTTCTCAATGTCAGGGAATTTCAGATTTAGTTCTTGGAACTAGCGAATGCAAGAGCCTCATTATTGGCAGCAACAGAGGTTTCCAAACACCAGAAATGCAGAGATCTCAGAAGTGTCATAGTCTCAACCTAGTTAACCATATCACAGTAGTAGATGACAATCTGTCATTGGGACAGAGGTCATGTAACAGCCATCTATCCCAGAATAACTGCTATCAAATGGTAGTTTCTGCATGCTGCTTTCACAGCTCCCCTGAGAACAATTCTTTTGCAGTGAGAGTAGGTATTACTGAAACCAGAGGTCAGCTGTGCTCAGCGTGTAGCGCACCTGCTTCCTTGTCTGAAGGTCATGCCAGATACAGCTGCTGCTTCTTCCGGTACAGTGACAAAGGAATGCAGCGCTGTCAGAGGATTGTGCTGCCTTTTGGTCGAGATGGTTTGTCTGCCACTCTTCCACGCGCGCGCACACGCACGCATGCATGCACACACACATTCAGACCAGGGCTGCACATGTCACACCAGGGAAAGCTCACCAACATTGCTGTTTATGGGATCTTGCTATGCCAATGTACATATCTGGCCACTATTCCTACAATAGTTACAAGATCTTAAAGCTTTTTGTTGACTGTAAAGTATTTCGGTTGTGAAAGGTGATTACAGCAGTGCGTAAGTTGTACTGTCATGGTCGGCTGGCCTCAGACACATGGTTTACTTCTGTACTGGAGAAAATGTCTTTGCTCCATTCTGGCAGCCTGGTACTGTCTGTGATGTCTATCTGGGTGAGTAAAGCACAGTGAAGACATTTCAGTTTAGTTGTCTGGTTGCTTTTGGGATTGTGTTACACACAGCTGCTACCGAGTGAATCAGTGTACTTGTAGGATCAAATCTCCTTCCACTGAATGGTAAAACCTAGTGCAGTGTCACACTCCAGACTGCCTTTCGACCCACTTACTTTCCATTCAACACCCTAAAACTCATTGGGTGAAGTGATTATATTGTCATTGGGAGTAGTAATCCATAGGCACAAGCGAATACTCTGGTGGCATGGGTTCAAATCCCACCATGATAGATGGTAAAATTTGAATTCAATTAATACAATCTGGAAGTAAAACTTGTCTAATCTTTGCTGATTGTCACTTTAGGGAGTAAAATCTGCTACACTTACTTGATCTGACCTACAAGTGTCTTCAAACCTGTAGCAATGTAGTTCACTCTTAACTTCCTTCTGAAATGGGCTGCCAGGTTAGAGAGTGCCAAATTAGAGATTAGAGTGCCTAGCAGTGCAAAATTAGAGATAGTCAGTAAATGCTGGCCTTGTGAGTGATGCCCACATCCTGTGAAAGAATAAAGGCAAAAACACCTGCAGCAACAACTCATTGGAAGACCCTCAGAAGTTTTTATATTTAAAGTTTAGTTTTATTTTTCTCCTTGCCTGTCTTTTGCTGTAGCTTTGTTCCATAGACTCATTACACTCCTCCAAAATGACTGTTGTGGTTGTTATCAGCAACTTGGGAAAGTACACAACTATTCCCAGGGTCATCACAAGTTAATGATTTAATCAAAGTATGCAAAAAAATCCTTGATTTTTACCTGTCTGTTGGAATCGTGATAACAAAACATTGACTAGATTTCTGCACTTAACAAGAATTACTGTTTATTGCAAATAAGTAAATTCTAATCACAAGTAAAAAGCTATGAACTATCAGGACATGGTTGTGGTTGTTGAAACATTCAGACTGACTCAGACAAACAAAAAATGTTGGTTTTATGGGTGGAGGGATAAAAGACTTATTAGCTAGACCACCTCGAAGCTAGCATGCAATTTCAACTGTCTGAATTGGAGTCTGACTGCTTATCTAAGTTTCGGGCCAAAACTCCTCATCAGTACTGAAGAAGAGTTTCGGCCTAAAACATTGACTTACCTGCTCCTCAGATGCTTGTCTGACCTGCTGTGCTTTTCCAGCCTTGCACCTGTTGCCTCTGGCTTCCAGCATTTGCAGTTCTTATTGTCTCCTGCTCGTCTAAGTTATTGCCTGAACAAAACTTAGCAGAAATCCCCAACTGTGCCATATATCCAAGTTAGCACTTTTATGTCTTTGTACTGAGTCCTCATCACACTCTGATTTTGTCAAAAGTGGGCGGAAAGACAGTGAATCCATACTTGTCAACACTTGTAAGCTGCTCTGTTCAAATTCAATTAGGGATTGGCAACAAATGCAGGTCTTGCCAGAGTACAAATCCTGGGAAAGGAAAAAAGGAAACCAGAGATAGAATCTAGATTCTCATTCATTGAATGAAGTGCTAAAAGTGCATGCTTAGCAAGGCAGAGGTCAGGATACTTATTTTAAGCGTGTGACCCCAAACACTGCATGTTTGTTCATAGTTCATCTTGATTATTGAGCCTCTGAACTGAAAGTGAAGCTGTCATTTGGCTCAACAACATGGCACATGTTTGCAAAATAGATTTTAATTTGGTTATAGGGTTATCCAAAGTCATCCAAGACGATGGATTTGTAGAAAAATGGGGAAACAGCAGCAGCTTCAAACTAAATTGGATTGCTCTTACGAATAGATTGTATGTACACAATGTACCAAAGGATTGAGATTTTTAAACTGAATTTACTGTCTTGGTTGGCAAATGGTTTCATTCAGATTCACAGCCAAATACTAGTAGATGGCATTCCTATTCTGGGAACGGGTGCAGGCAACAATTCTTGGAGCCATTCTTGCCCTCAGCATTGGGGAAATTAGGAATGTTGAGGAATTGAGGTGGTGTTCTGATTCTGTAGCTGGCATTTCAGTGCTGTGAATCATGAATAATGCACTGTTGGTAGTACCATTTTTAAGATAGATTAAACTGAGATTCTGTCTTCCTGTTCAGTGTATGTAACCAATCCAGTTCAAAGAGCAAGGATTTCCCTTGCTGATAACCCTTGAATAAAGCAAAAATGCCCAGTTTCTTTTACTAGTTTAAGGGATGTGAATGTTTCTGGCTAGGCCAGGATTTATTGCCTACTTCTATTTTCCTGAACCACTGCAGTCCTTTGTGTTTTCCTGTGGTGTAGGGACAACTACAGTGCTGATAGGAACAGTTCCAGGATTTAGACCCAGTGATAGTGAAGGAATTGTAATATAGTTCCCAATCAGGATGGTTAGTGGTTTAGAGAGGAATTTGAAGGTGGTGGTGTTCTCATTCACCTTGTCCATTTTAGGTGTGGAAATTATGGGTTTGGAAGATTGTGTTGGAGAAGCATTGGTCAATATTGCAGTGCATCTTGTAGACGGCACATAGTACTGCCGGTCATGCAGACTGCTCTGTCCTGGTTGAAGTCAATTTTCTTGTATTGTTGGAGCTACACTCAGCCAGACAAGTGGGGAGTATCGCATTGCAATCTTGACTTGTGCTTTTGAAATGGTGGGCAGACTTTAGGAAATCAGCTGAGTTATGCACTGCAGGATTCCTAGCTTTTAGTAGCCACGGTATTAATATGGCTGGTCCACTTCAGTTTTTAGTGAATGACATCTCTGGGATATTTGTGGGGGCGCGGGTTCAGTGATCCCAATAACATCGAATGTCAAGGAGCGATTTAAATTTAAATAGAAATGGTCATTGTCTGACATGTGGTATTAATGTTATTGCCCCTCATCAGCCGAAGCCTAGCCATGTTCAGATCTTGCTATTTATGGACCTGGACTGCTTCAGTATCTGAGGCATTGTGAATGGTGGTGAGGGTTGGAGCAAAGAGAGAAATTGTCCAGATGTCTTGTCTAGTCCATCAAAGTTAATTTTATGAGTAGAATTGTAGAATAGTTGGAATGGTTCATGTTTGTGTTGGGTCTCTGAAACAACTCACCTAATGCCACTCCTTGCCCTCTTCCCATGGCCCTGCACATTCTCTTCCTTTACGAGTAATGATCCAATTTTCCCTTGAATTCCTTGATTGATTGATTGAACTGACCTCCACATTCTCTCTGCATTCTAGATTATAACTTACTGATTAGAAACATTTTTCTTCAAGTTGTCATTGTTTCTTTTGCTGGTTGCCTTAAAAATACACCCTCTGGTTCTCCCTTTCAGCAATAGGAACAGTTTCTTCCTATCTACTCTGTCCAGATCTGTCATGATTTTGACTACCTCTATCAAATTTCATCTCAACCTTATCTTCCTCAATGAGAACAGCCTGTGTTCCCCAGACTGACTATATAATCGAAATTGCTTATCTGAGGGACCATCCTCATTAAATATTTCTGCACCCTCTCTCATGCTTTCAATGCTTTCCTAATGTGTATCCAAACTGGATGTAATACTCCAATGTTTTATGCAAATTAAATACAACTCCCCGACTTTTGTACTCTGCCCCTGTTGATAAGCTCGATGATGCTGTTTGCTCTATTAACCACATTTT